GTGTGTGCATGTGTGTGGTCTGTCTCCCTGATTTTTGCTTTTTTCTTGTTGATGTCACTGTCTCTTGGGGCCAAACTACATATGATGTCAGTCAAATGTAAAGAAAAGCATTTTGCCTAGCTGCATCTATTCTGGAAAAAATGACAACACAAGAAGAGCCCAGCCAGATCATACCAAAGGCAGTTCTAGTCCAGCATTCGTTTCCCAGCCAGATGCCTTTAGAAACCTCACAAGCAAGAAAGATGTTGGCATGCTACCACCTTTTGTCCACCTTCCCTAGCAAATGGTATGCAGAGGTTCAATACCTTCGGTTCTGGAGGAATAGCTGTGGTCATCCCGACTAAGTAGCCATTGATACCCCATCTTCTGTGAATTGCCCAATCCCCATTTAAAGCCTCTCAATCTGGAATGGGCCTTCTAGACAAAATAAATACATGATGTCACAGAGTTTGCCTTTATTTCTACTCCACTAGAGCCACTCTTCCTCCCCCCTCCCCTCATTTGTTTAGATTCATATTCTTCCCCCCCCCCCCTTTAAGGAACTCAAAAGCAGCTTACATTATTCTCCTCCTGCTGCTTTCTCAATTTTATCCCCACAACAACAACCCTGTGAGGTAGGTTGGGCTGAGAGTCTGTGATGGGCCCAAGTCTTTCACTTGGCTCCATGGCTGAGTGGGGACTAGAACTCAGGTCATCTGAGTCCCAGTCCTGCACTCTTGACCACTACATCTTCTGGGACAAACAACAGCCAGGAAATGGAAGTAATTTTCAGCAAAAAAAAAACCAGCCCAGACCTCAATCTGGAGTCCCAAACCCACTTTTTCTGCAAAATAGAGCAGTCAGGATAAGCACACTTCTTTAAACGGGTAAATAATATCCTGTTTTGGTCCTTATATTGATAACAGAAAAACTAACGAAAGATACTTTTCTTCTCATAAAAAAGAAAAATGATGGTGACCCTGAAAACAAAGAAATTTAGATACTTTGTTCCTAATGCATTATATCTTCCAAAATTTCTTGTTCACAGAAAATGGAGACTTTCTGGCTTTGGATCTTGGAGGAACAAATTTCCGAGTTTTGCTTGTGAAGATCCGAAGTGGTAAAAGGAGAATGGTAGAAATGCACAATAAAATATATGCAATTCCTATAGAGGTCATGCAGGGTACTGGAGAAGAGGTGAGCACTGTGGGTTTTCCTTTCTTTTTCCTTTGCTATTTATTTATTTAAAAGTTTCTATACTGTCTATTATTTCACAGAAATCTCAAGATGATTGACATTGTTTGTTACATTTCTTCGTTAGATTTTCATACCACCCAATAGACAAAGCATTATGTATTTTAAAAATAATGATACATATTTGTTTCTCTTACTTTTTTAAAGCTGTTTGACCACATTGTTACCTGCATTTCGGACTTCTTGGATTACATGGGAATAAAAGGCGCACGACTTCCCCTGGGCTTTACATTTTCTTTTCCATGTAAACAGAAAAGTTTAGATGCTGTAAGTTTGTTGCTTCTGTAATGCAACTTTTCAATTTACATTTTGAGGGTGGATTTTCAGCTATGCTTTATGAAGTGATATATACAAACAGTGCAACCTAAACATTCAGGGATGAAAGACCACAAAGTTTGTTTCACACTAGGGGAAGCTCTGGTTTCAGGTTTAGTCCTTTGCTGGGTGGAAACGTTTTGAATCTGTGTTTGTTGACCTGATCCTTGTGGAAGTGTAAGAATCTACCTCGCACTGAGCTAGGCCATCAGTCCGGCTAGCTCTAGCGCTGTCTACATCAAGGAAGCACAACCTTTTTGACTCTTTTTAAATAAAGCTTTCTATTAAAATTTTTAAACTAAAAACATCAGTCATCAAATACATTGGACGTACTGGGCCAGCCCCTTATAACGCATCTTTTTAACATTCTATTATCAAATTCAAACCAGTTTAGAAAAATTTAAAAACATCTTTAAATCTAAGCCAAGTCCTGTTTCTCCAGCCAATCATAAAAAGATCCCAAGTTTGATAGAAGTCAGTATCTTCTTTCTCCTTCAGTAATAGAGTCAAGCTGTCCATTTCTGCATAGTCCAGAATCTTTTTTAAAATCCGTTCCTCAGTGGGTAACCTTTTTGACTCTGAAGGCCACATGTGATGCTGACTCATGGGTCAGGAGCTGCACATTTGTGCTCTTGTGTACACACATGTTCACATGCACAGTAGCAATCTTGGTAAAGATTGCTCTGTGTTCTTTGCAGTGGTACGGACTGGTGGGGTGGGAAGCCCTGCAGTGGGAGAATAGAGTCTGGGCATCCAGTGTGTTGGAGGGACTGTTGTGCGCTACTGGTGTAAACTGATGGGCACCAGCTCACCAGGGTTTCAGTAATTTGCAGCGCTTCTTAAAGATGCTAAGTCTCTGATCAGAGACCTTTTGGGTGCAAAGGAGCCACTGAACACAGCCCTCCCATTCTTGCATTAGATAGGCAGCTACTAGACTAGCAGAATAGTGCAAAGGCGCTCCCTGACAGATCCTAGATCGGCCAAAAAGTGTACTTGCTATCCTTTATTTCTCTGGTAGCAAATGTGGGTGCGCTCCAAGTTGACATGTCACCCCGCTGTGCTTTGTGAACTGCATTGATGGTAGGAGGGGAACACAAGACACCCTGCATCTTCCTTGCGTAGATCTTACCAGGGAACCAGATGGCGTTATCCGGTCAGCACTAACCTCACATAACAGTAGCTGTATGTACCCTTCTTGGGATGAAGTTTGGATGGCTTGTGGATGCCCCACAGGTGACTGTCCCTGATTTCTTTTGATATCCCACTGAACTGAGTTTTTTCCCCTTTTTCAAAGGGCATTCTGCTGAATTGGACCAAGGGCTTTAAAGCTACTGACTGTGAAGGAGAAGATGTTGTCAGTTTGCTACGGGAAGGAATTAAACGAAGAGACGTGAGCCATTTTCCTGTGTAAAGTTAAAACTAGCAGATGTTGTCTGTGGTTTTAAAATGAATACGTATCGTACATCCTCACATAGACCACCTCTGCCTTGCTTCACACATGCCACCTCCCACATTGCGAGGGAGCACAGTGCTCTGATGGCTTCGCGGGCCATGGCTTCAGTGTGCGAGGCTTTCCTCAACAGGAAAAAACGTGTGCACCAAAACTGGGAACCAAGGGAATTGCTGTGTTCAGCCCGGGTTTTCCTGCCTAGGGAAAGCCTGGGTGGAGCACAGCAAGACTGGCTCATCTATTAAAAAGAAATGGAGGAGGAAAAGGGATGGCACTTAACTGGTTTTGTTCTTCTGCAGTGGGGGAATTGATGGGACAGGAGAAGGCAGGCCTCTTGAACCCAATGCCTGCCCCATGGGCCTTTCTCAGCCAGGAAAAACCCTATGAAGCCATGTCTCCGGGTATAGTGTTGATCCTCTGGCCAGTGACCAAATGTGACTTTGGGTGGGGAGGGGTGGCCCTGCCTGTTGATGCAGTTTGACCCATGGAGTACTGGTGGGAGGGAGGTCATCTGGCTCTCCACCTAAAATAAGCTCCCCACCTCTGTTTTAGACTACAACTCCCATCAGCCCTGGTCAACATGGCTGCTACTCGAGTCTGGAGCACATGGGGTTGCCTGACTCTGCTCACAGAAGCTATGGGGAATTTCACACTTAATACGAATCCCTGTTCAAATTGTAGCCCTCTTTGCCACATCCCACACCATTCCCATGGGTTGCCCTATTCTATGAGAGAAACTGTAGCCAGTTTTTAGGATCTGAGCCATTATTCATGAATCATGTTGCAGACTTGGCTTTAGCCAACCTTAACTTAAAACAGGGATAAAACATAGGCTCATTTCCTGATGATAATATAATATTGCACAGCCCTGGTCATCTTGTTTTATGACTTCAAATATGAGGAAAGTTTTTCTTGAAAGTCCTGTGCAACCCTGGAATGACTAAACACAATTTATATTGTCATTCTTTGTTGTGGCCTCTATGCATCACACATATGGGTGCTGCACCTGTGCAGTGCCTAAGGCCGGAAAGATTGCAAAGCTAATGGTTTTTGGCAGGAAATTCCGCTCCCCTCCCCCAGTGCAGAGTGTCCTCCATTTTCTCAGTCTTTTGTGACCACCGTTTGCTGTGCCTCGAGCCTTTATCTCTCGTTCGTATTGTTCTCCATTGTTATCTTCTTGTTACTAGTTGTTGTCTTATCTAGTCTCCAAGTTTTATTCCCCCGTTCGAGTTTTTTCCTCTACTCTTCGACTTTCTAAAAACAACAAAACAAAACAAACTATATTACTATCTCCTTCTCATTTCTTCTTCCGATGGCACAGCGGGCGGCTTTCTGCAAATGTTCTCAATGTGGGTTGAAGATGTCACCTACCGACCCACACGATCTGTGTCTCCTCTGCCTGGACGAGGGGCACAGGACTGCTAAATGCGGCCATTGTCAGGCCTTCACCAAACAGGCAAGAAAAAATCGTGAAAACCGCCTGAGGAAGATGCTGTGGGCCCTCATGCAGTCTGACCAAATGGCCGCTAAGCCTGCTTCGGCTTCTGCCACTCCTCCACCACACCCATCGGCTGATGGTGCCCCAGTTGTGGAGACCCAGCAACCTCCTCCTCCTCTCCATAAGAAAAAGGAGAAGAGGAAGCATGGAGGATCTGATAAATCCTCTGGCCCTAAGAAGCCAAGGAAAGATAAATTGGATAAGGCGGCCCATAAGCCCAGGAAACCCAATCAGGGTCGACACTGTGATTCGGGATCATCCATACCATCGGTCCCGACGGCTGCGACAGTACCGACACCAGTGGGCCCGTCACTGCAGGCCGCTATGCAAGTGACTCCACCAGGGTCCCCTAGAAGGGTCATGCACTCGGTGCTTTCATCCCCCGAGCAACCCGAAGTGCTGCTACACGATTCCATCTCTGATGGCGAGATTCGTGATTCCCCGCCAACGGCGTGTTCTCCAGCGCTGATGCCTCACCCTGGACCAACTACAGGACTGGCCTCCTTTCAATCTCGGCACCGACATCATTTCCCGGAACAGGTCATGGAGGAATGGGTCCAGCCCCGCTACGTCAGTCATCGCGGGGGCTGGGATGACTACGCATCCTTCGCCTGTTATCCTTCGGCTCGCTTCCTGGTACCGAGAGGGGACCCATCCACCTCCAGGCCGTCGAGATCGGGACACCTGGTCTTACCAGGGAATTCCTCCTCTAGTGGCCCGTTGCAATACGGGACTGACTCGGATGAATCCAAAGTGGCTTCGACCTTCCCTGATGTAGCCATCACGACTCAGGGTCCGGGATCGCCGGAGGAGCCCCATGTCACCTTTGGGGAACTGACGGCAAGGCTTGTCCATTCGCTAGAGATCAAAGCCCAGCACCGTATTGATCCTAGCACGGACAAGTTTTATGACATTGTTAGAGGTGAACAATCGGCAGCTATCATCCTGCCTCTAATTATGACCCTCCGCCAGGCCATGGTGCAGCCTTGGGATCTGCCAACTAACCCCCACCTACGTCGAGGCGGTACGAGGCGATGTACCGAGTTCGGGAGCAGGACATACCATTTTTCCTGCACCACCGAAACCGAACTCGGTGGTCGTCGAATTCTCCCAAGGACAAGAGTCACGGGGCCATACTGCACCTCGGGATAAGGAGGGTCGCAAGATTGATAATGTTGGCACGTTGAGTCTATGCAGCCTCTGGACTCGGTCTTTGTATATCTTATTACAAGGCAATGCTGGCCTGGTATCAGTACTTACTCATGCAGAAGCTTGATAACATCACTGCTTCCCTACTGGACCAGCAAAGAGACCTAGTAAGGGTGTTCATCAAGGAAGCCATGCAGGTCTCTATCCAGCAACTGTCAAGGGCAAAGCACCACTTTGACTCCGACTCCAGGGCTCTGGTCGGTGCCATCTCCCTCTGCTGCCATGCATGGCTGTGGAGCTGCAATTTTCCCGAGGAAATGAAACGCCGAATCGAGGAAATGCAATTCGACGGTTCCGGCCTGTTTCACTCAAGGACAGACCACAAGCTCAAATTGATCCATGAGTCTAGAATGACCGCTCATCAGATGGAGGTTCCTGCTCAGCCCCAACGTAAGTGGTCATGGTCCCGTCCATCATACAGACCCCAACATACTCCCAGTTCCCAGGGAGACAGCATTTCCAGCCACGTCAGCAGCGTCGGAAGCAACCTCCATAACAGCGCTTCCAGCAGTGCCACCACCGCTTAGATTCTGAGAAGCGTCAGCACTGACAGGCTTGGTGAACCTCTCCTCTCCTCCTACACCCACCATCCCCTCTCCCTTTTGGGGATCTACTGCAAAGTTGACTCTCCATTTGGGAGTCCATCACATCTGATCGGTGGGTTTTATCCATCATCCAGCTTGGATACAGAATAGAATTAGACATCGTTCCTCTGTTGGGTCCGATCCGATTTACACCATGCTCGTCGGTGCTAGTAGATGAAGTTCTCCAATCGCTTCATAAAGGAGTGATCCAACAGCTTTCACATTCTGAGGGACTTCACGGATTCTATTCAAGATATTTTACTGTCCCAAAGCGGGATGGTGGTCTCCGTCCAGTCCTGGACTTACGGGATATTAATAGGTTTATCAAGCCTAAGAAGTTTTGGATGACTACTCCTCAAAATATCCATCTGTTGCTGAGGAGAGAGGATTGGTTCGCCTCCCTGGACTTAAGAGATGCCTACTTTCATATTTCTGTCCACCCGTCCCACAGGCGTCTCTTACGATTTATGGTTGGTTCCGACATATTTGAATTTAATATTCTTCCATTTGGACTAGCCACCGCACCACGGGTCTTCACTAAATGCAAGGCTCCAGTGTGTGTACACCTTCGGCTTCAGGGTATCCAAGTGTACCCTTACCTGGATGACTGGTTAATAGTTTGCCCAACCCAGGAAGGTCTTCTCTCTGTCATGGATATAACTTGTACTTTGCTGGACGATTCGGGGCTGTGTATTAATCGTGAAAAATCGTCCCTTGTCCCTTCACAGGTGATTGATTTCATTGGAGCACGTCTCAACTCTACCCTAGTGAGGGCATTTCTTCCTCCGGCTCGTCAAGACAATCTGCTCATGGATCCATCGAATTCGACGAGACAGGACTGTTCCGGCCCTTTCGATCCAGAAGCTTCTGGGTCACATGGCCACTTTGGTGGCCACCGTTCCTCATGCCAGACTTCAACTGCGACCACTTCAGTTATACTTCAACAGAATGTTTCACACGCAATGGGATTCGCCCAGCAAACCAATTCACCTCCTGCTGTCCGTCCTACACACATTATCATGGTGGACAGTTCCAGACAATCTGAATGTAGGTGTTCTGTTCCGTCCACCTCATCCAACTCTGACTCTTTATACAGATGCATCTCTGATCGGTTGGGGTGCCGTATGTGCCGGACTTCAAATACAGGGCACTTGGGACTGACAGGAATCCGCCAAACACATCAACTATCTCGAGCTTCTGGCGATCTTCAAGGCTCTCCGATCCTTCGAGGATACTGTCCAGCGACACGTGGTTCAGGTTGCGTCCGACAACATGGTCGCTGTGTTCTATGTGAACAAACAGGGCGGGACGAAATCCATTTCTCTAGCTCATCTGTCGATGAAGATCTGGGACTGGTGCATTTCGAGAGACATAACTCTTCTGGCGGTTCATCTAGCCGCTACCGACAACGAGGAAGCTGACATGTTTTGCTGGGGAATGTCAACGACTCACGAATGGGAGTTAGATTGACAGATTTGCAATCAGCTTTTCTTGCTTTGGGGACATCCGGACATGGACTTATTTGCTACCCATGAGAACAGGGTATGTGAAGCGTTCTGCTCCCGAGTGGGCATCGGCCTGGGATCAACAGGGGAGGCCCTGATGGTTCCGTGGTCCAACATCAACTTTTACACCTTCCCTCCAATTCCACTAATAACGAAGGTCATATCGAAGATCACCCACAACAACGCTTAATTACACCTTGGTGGCGCCATCAAGCATGGTTCTCCACTTTCTTCTGACTGTCTGACAACACCTTTCTCCGTCTACCATCAGTACCTCATTTGATAACGCAGCAAGATGGAGCTGTTCGTCACCCGGACTTGGCCTCATTGAGCCTCACAGCTTGGCGAATCCAATGACCCACGATACCGACTCGGTACTGACGATTACACAAACACTTGGACTTTCCAGTTACGGAATTGAGACATCACTCGTTCACTCAGATCCGATAGACTTTGTCTCTGGGTCAAGCACTCTCGATCCAGATATCCAGCGCATTCTCAAATCTGCTTTAAGACCATCAACGCAAAGATCCTACGCGGTAAAGTGGCGTCGATTCTCCTCTTTCGCAGAATCCAATTCGTTTGTTGCTTCGTCGGCTTCTGTCGAGAATATCGTACAGTTTATTTTAGAGCTACATCATTCAGGACTTAAACCTTCATCCATAAAGGTCTATACAGCTGTGATCTCCCACTACTGCAGTGCGGTACAGGGTTCATTGGTCTTTTCTCAACCAATTATTGGAAGATTCATCAAAGGACTACAGAATCTTCAACGATTCATCCTATCATGCCTACTTGGAGTCTCTCAGTTGTACTTCAAGCACTCACCAGAGCCCCCTTCGAACCTCTGGCAACTGACTTATGTCTTTTGTCCTGGAAGACTGCCTTCCTCGTAGCCGTCACTTCAGCTCGGAGAGCTAGTGAGCTTTGTGCTCTTCGAGTAGATCCTTCTTATTTAAACTTCCATAAAGAGAAAGTTGTCCTCCAAATGGATTCGATGTTTTTGCCCAAAGTAGCCACTCCGTTCCATGTTAATCAGGACATTGTTTTACCTGCTTTCTTTCCATCACCATCGAACCTGATTGAGAGATCCCTGCATACTCTTGCTGTATGCCGTTGCTTAGCATTCTACAGATTGTGTACAGAATCTTTTCAACAGTCTAACCGCCTCTTCGTGAAGTATTCTGAGCAGGACAAGGGCTCTCCTATAACTTCGCAGAGACTTTCGAAATGGATTGTGCAAAGAATTGTGCTGGCGTATCAACTTGCCGAAATGGACTTACCCATTGTTCCGAGGGGTCACTCCACAAGAGCAGTAGCAGCTTCCTCCGCCTTTGCTGCGGGAATTCCAATCCAGGATATCTGTAAAGCTGCAACTCGGGCTGCCCCGTGCACTTTTGCCAGGCATTATCGCCTTGATGTGCGTGCCAGACAGGACTGCTCCTTTGGTAGGGCAGTCCTCTCCGCCATTCTTCGATGACAACACCGCCCTCCTCTGACTCTAGTAAGCTTGTTAATCACCCATATGTGTGATGCACAGAGGCCACGACGAAGAAAGGCAGGTTGCTTACCTGTAACTGTCATTCTTCGAGTGGCCATCTGTGCATTCACACAACCCACCCGCCAGCCCCGCTCAGTGTCGGTGAGTGGATCTTCTGTCGGTACCATGTTTCATTTTGATTGTCATGGTCCCTGAATAATTTATTGTACTATATCTCTCTCCCGAGAGGGGGCAAACGTCCGGTCTTGTAAAGACTGAGAAAATGGTGGACACTTCACTCTATTTATAGCATTGAGGGGAAGGGGAGGGGAGGGGAGTTTCCCACCAAAAAGCATTAGCTTTGCAATTTTTCCAGCCTTAGGCACTGGACAGGCGCAGCACCCGTATGTGTGAATGCACAGATGGCCACTAGAAGAACGACAGTTACAGGTAAGCAACCTGCCTTTCTTGGGTGTTGGAAATGCAAAGTTGTTGTTTGCAGATCTTTGTTTCTGTGGGTGGCCCTTGTGAAATTAGACCGGTGTGACTCAGCGTTTTAGAACTGATACTAGTTTACCGGACATAAGCTAACAATAGAACATTTGCTACTCTTTTATTCTGTTGCTTGGAAGGTTTTCCTAGATTAGGAAGACACGGAGTTAGTGCTAAGGATTCTTTAAATGGCAAAAATGGAAACATCAGTGAGGTGAAAGCTACCAGAGGTTCCAAGAAAGATAAATTGTATGTGGAAACTATAGAATGTGGTAGGGCAGATAAAACAGGCAAATCTAATTAGAGTTACAAGTAGGAGGCTGCCATTTAACTTAGAATGTATCTGGCCCATAACTTGTGAATTTTGGAAGAGACGAAAGTACTTTTAGAAACTATTCTGAATTTATTTCTTTGCAATTACTATTTGAAGTACTTCTTGTAATACCTGGAGTATAAAACAGGACTGGGCAGCCACTTGCAAGGCCTGGGGCCGAATTCAATTTCAGAGTAGTACCTGAGAAATGCGCACCAGTTTGAGGCATGTGAAATGAAACAGAACCAAAAATAATAAAGATGCTAGCCAGGTGTTCCTTAATTCCAGGAGGTTAGCCTTAGAAGAAGCATTTCAGCCTTGTAGAGGCAGATGCTTGTGAAACCACCAAACAACTGGTTGATGGGGGAAAGCGGGAATGGCCATCTAGGCATCCTTGGAGGCTTGGATTTGGTGTCTGGGCCTGAGGTTCCCCACGCCTGCCAAACAAGTGAAGTGTAGGCAATCCTCTTAAAGAACAATTTAAAATTAAGACTAGTGGGTTTTTTGTTTACTGTTCCATTACAGTGAGTGAAGGGGTTGCATTAATACTGCAGTCTTGATACAACAAAGATGAAGGTATAATTATATAACTAGGCCTGACGTATGTGAGGTATCTGATTTGTGTAGCAAATCAGGTATGGCAGTGGATATTTCCTTTTAACTTACCTGTATGTTAGGACATGAGCATGAAGGTTACATTGCTGCTATTTGAAACAGAACTGTGTTTTCCTGATTAACTGTTAGGATATTTGGAAATGGCACACATAGGCTTCTTTCCCTGCACTGTAATGGGAAAGAATGGGTATAAGCGCTGTGATGGGTAATAAGCGCCACATTGGCATGCTTCGGTAAAAGCAAATGAGGCTTTGCTATTCATTTATAGGAGTTTGACCTGGATGTTGTGGCTGTGGTGAATGATACGGTTGGGACTATGATGACTTGTGCCTATGAAGATCCAAATTGTGAAATTGGGCTCATTGTTGGTATGTATGAGGCCTTGCTGTAATTCAGTTTGGGGAGGAGTGCAGTGGTATTTTAAAAAACTGTATAGCACAGGGTGACTGTTGTTCAGTAACGGGAGACCCATCTTGTAGTCCTCATTTGGCCATTGATTTTATTGTTACCTTTCTAGCCCTCCATTTTTGGGCTAGAAAGGTAACCATTTGTGAGGAACCCAAAGTGACTTACGTAGTCCTCCTTGCCATTTTTATCCCCACAGCGACCCTGTGAGGGAGGTTAAACTGAGAGTCCGTGACTGGCACAAAGTCACCCAATGAACTTTAGGGCTGACGGGGGACTGTCCATCATGCCCTGCTGGCTTTTATAAGAAATTCTGAATTCTAGAATTGCTAGACTGCTTGGACTAGTCAGTTGTTTAAAATAAGGTTATTATTTTAGTGTAATCTTATGATATTTTATTTTTATTTATATATTATATTGTATGCATTAGCTGTTGTACACAGCCCAGAGAGCTTTGGCTATTGGGTGGCATAGAAATAAAATAAGTCACCCTTAACTGAATGCAGAAAGGGTGCATTGTGAATAATAAATATAAAATAGAATTAAAATAAAATCTGGGTCTTGTTTAATAAGGAAAATTTGATGGGCAAGAGGAATATGGGAAGCACTATGGGAGGGTTTGAAACCATTTGCCTGATACCAAATTAATACAATGGTTCTGTGCCCAAATAATGTAATTTAATATGACACACGTATTTTATTATTCTGCGCTCACATTTTTATCCCCCCACACACAGAGTGCTCAGGGCAGTGTACCTAGTTCATTCATGCAGCATTAACTTCACAACAGTTCTGTGAAGTGGATTAAGCTGGCAGGCCATAGACTGGCTGAAGATTTCCCACTGCAATATTTGAATGTCTGTCCTAGGGGCTTTTAGAGTGTAACAACATAATCTGCTGCTTTGTTATTGAATCTCATTTCTTTTGTTTTAGGAACTGGCAGCAATGCTTGTTACATGGAAGAAATGAGAAACATTGAGATGGTGGAGGGAGAGCAAGGAAGAATGTGTGTGAACATGGAGTGGGGTGCCTTTGGGGACAACGGGTGCCTGGATGACATCAGGACGATCTACGACAAAGCTGTTGACGACTACTCACTAAACTGCGGCAAGCAAAGGTATTTTCTTCAGCAGCATGGGAACAGATGGCAAGTGAGGGCTTGTGGCAGAGGTGCCTGTCACTTGGTTATGTGCAAAACTGAGCCACGGCAGAGTTCCATAAGATTTGGCCAAAAGACAATTGCACAACCCGGAGCAAAGTTCTTTCTTAGAACCTTAATGCGCAGAGATAGCAAGGTGAAGTTGCTGCATATTTCCTAAGGCCCTCAGAAAGGAACCCAGGAACCCCGCAGTCCTTCAAGAAATCAAAACTTCTGGGCAGCTGTGGTAAAAAAAGAGCCAAACCTGCCTCTTGTGATTTGAAATTTGGAGCCTTTTTGGGGAATCCTTGGCAAATGCTTGGGCTTCTTTCTAAGGTACTGTAAAGCTCAGAAAGGCTCAAGTGGGAGGAGCTTCTCCATCAGGAGCAGGTAACACATGTGTTGTTCCTGCTCTGCTGAGGTATAAGCTAAATATTTTGCCATTTTTTTCAGGTTGCCTTGAATCTCTGCATTGGTGGAAATCAGTCCCAATCTGCCTGACATCTAGGCCAATGTCAGTCCATGTGCATTTCAAATTCCTTCCTCTCCTCCCATCCCTTGCTTTCAGTTTGGGGTTAGGGAGTGCTGGTGAGAAGACTTACAAAAAACAAGGACTCAGCTGAAAACATCATCTACAAGAATCCTATAAATTTTAGTGGTTTCTCATCTTCTTGTATAAATGAATCAGGATGAATTTAAAAACTCAGTTTCCCAAAGACAGCAGTGCAGGTTCTGAGCATTGCTGGAAGTCTCCATTGCAGTAAAGAACTGCTTAGAAGAATTAATCTTTGCTTAACTCTGAGAACTGTGTTTTCTTTCTGCCACCTGGCCAATGAGTAAAGAGGATTTTTTAAAGCATTACCTCCCTCAGAGTTTGCATCTCCAGGGCCTTCAAATTTGGCCTCCTTCCTTCCCTTTTGCATCTTGGTAGATTTGGAAAAGGATAGGCAGGGGAAGGAAATGTCAAGCATTACAAACCAAATTGGGAATTGGTAGGGGAGATGGGACTTTGAAGGGGATTTCTGAACTTGGGAGGACTCCTTTGCAAAATTCCTCATTTCCAGACTTCTTGTCTATAAGCACCAGCCCATACAGCAAGTAGCATAACAAACTCTATACAGACGTTTCTGCTACACCAGGGGTCGGCAACCGTTAACACTCAAAGAGCCATTTGGACCCATTTCCCACAGAAAAGACAACACTGGGAGCCGCAAAACCCTTTTGATATCTCAAAAGAAGATAACACTGCATATATCATTTTTATGCTATGTATAAAAAAACTATAGTGTGTTCCATTTATGAAATCAATGAACTGCTACAGAGAAAACATTTTTTTTTATTTCTGCATGCAACAAAAACATTTTGAACTCCAAAAAAAAAAAAAAACTGGGTTGAAGGTCACTTTCAAATCAAATAGTGTCTTTTTGAGTCCTCCTATTGTTGTTGTTGTTATTATTATTATTATTATTATTATTACATTTCTATGCTGCCCCTTGCCGAAACCTCGGGGCGGCTTCCGAACTTATATTATCCACCAGCAGCAAACCAGACATGCCACCTGCGGCAAACCAAAAATGCCATCTGCTTCTGTGTGCCCTCATCCTTTTATCAAGTGGTGAAATATTGAACAAACATCCCTCTCCCAATGTAATAATGTTGCTGGAATTTTTATAAGAATCTTCTTAAAACAAGGAAGTAGATCTATATCTTCATTATGATTTAGGTGCAGCTCTTGTTCAGTCACTAAAAACTGTTATTTTTAATCTTACATTATAAACTAGTAGGATTCCTTTCATATATTTTGAATAGGAGAGCAGAGTCAAAGTCAGTGCTAAAGGGCTGCATGCATTAAACAGCAAACCCCGTAAGTTTGTCAGCAGTAAAAGCACATGAATCTACTCACGTACCATTAAATGTTCATTTTTCTTCAGAAACTTTTCTTTGATTTATCCATGGTTGGTGGCTGGGGTGGGGGGGGGAGCTCAGTAAATCGGAGCTGGGTCACAGATATAGGTGTGTTTAGTGACTGATTAGCAGATGAACAGTCAAGTGATGTGAATTGTGACAGGTCCCAAGCTCAGCTTTTAACATTCAGATGAAGGATATTACATTGAGACAAAGAGAATCTTTTCAGCAGGGTTTGAGTAACATGAAAGCCTGCAGGAAGCTTGTTCCACTCTTTCCCTGCACAATAGCAGAGGAATGTAGCAATTTACTTAACCAGCGTCGTCGCAGATCGGTGACTGTGCTGGTGCGTATTTTGAACGAAGGAGCTGCAGCAGAGGGATTCAAGAGCCACGTGTGGCTCTGGAGCCGTGAGTTGCTGACCCCTGTGCTACACCTACCAGGAGGTAGCAAGCACACTAGCCGCTTGCACCTGTCATGCAAGAGGGAACACTTTTCCCCTCTGAGCGATTTACTGGGGTTCCCAAGGGGAACTGTCGTGCAATAAATGCCAACCTAAGCATTATTTTGGTTTCACATACTCAGTTGTTAATTCTTTCTCAGGGAAAAGTTTTCTTGACATGTAAAAAGCCTTTGCCTGCTTAAGAATCACTTATCCTTGCCTACCTCTTCCGGTTGTTCTTGTGGATATTCTTTGTTTCTGAGCTGTTGCATCTATCTATGACTGCAGGTATGAGAAGATGATCAGTGGAATGTACTTGGGAGAAATTGTCCGCAACATCTTGATTGACTTCACGAAACGAGGATTCCTCTTCAGAGGTCAAATTTCAGAGACACTGAAAACTAGGGGAATTTTTGAAACAAAATTCCTTTCACAGATTGAGAGGTAGGTGAACTAGACGTATCTAGAATGGGATGTCTTTATGAAGCTCTATTAACAATTACTTTTCCTTCAGCACATGCTTACAATATATCTATTTTAAAAAGCTCTACAGGGTAGTGAGTTCACACAATTAGTTATATTGTGTGGTTATAATTTATAGTTTCTTGCCTGTGTGTCTGGAGATTGCTTGCCTTTTTCACGCAACACAATGGGGGTTAATAAATTGCAGTGGCTTCTTAACCACCCTGCATGCAATGGCACCTCATTTTGTTGATGGTGGGGGGGGGGGGAATGGTATTTGTAGTGGCTACAGAGTGCTTCAAGGGTCAAACTTAGCTATTTCAAGCTTCTTCTCTCTTATTGCACTAAACAGCTGCTACACAATGCCAGTAGTAGTAAAATTTATGAGCAGGATAATAGTGTCTTTCCACAAACTTTGATGACACTGGAGAGCTCTGCTGGATCTTTCCAGTAATCAAGCAGTTGTGTACACATAGCACCCAACCAGAGATGCAACTGCCATTGCACAGACGTAACCTGAGCCAGATTTTGCTAGTTTGGAATCTAGTTTTAGCTAGTGCCACACCGTTTGCTAATGGAATGACAAAGAGACAGCCCTATTATTATGGTTGTCCTTTAGTTTGTTGGGCTCTGAGGGAACAAAAATGATCCCAGACCTTCTGCAATTTTCCACCCCTGCTATAGACTCTGTAAGTTCTTCTTTGTGGTCTCCGTGTATCACACACACAGGGGCTTTGCTGCAAAGGCCCAGATCGGAGAGAAAAATGGCCCTTCTGCAATTCTCCACCCCTGCTGTAGTCTCTATAAGATCCATTTCCTATCAGACTGTGCTATAATGTTTCAAAACCTCAGAGGAGTAGCAGTGTTAGGTTGCTGCAGAACAAACCAGGAGCCTTGCACTGAGTGAGAGATTGCACCCAATGGCCTTATGATTCTGTGAGAAGGAGACAAAAGGAGTCTTGTAGAACCATAAAAGGTATCAAATACCTTGTCTATTTGACACAGTGGTCTGCAGTTTACAAATGCACTAGAAATTAACAAGCTTACTGTGTCTTCACAGCAAACTTCTACATGAGTGAATGAACTTAGAGTAAATGCAACGATCAGTTAACGGACAGACATTGTAGTACAAGCTTCTGTGGGAAACAGCACACACATCAAGTTGCATATAATTTCCTGATACTGTCACTGATACTTGACCAGATCAGATTCCACAGTGATGTTGGGAATGTAGTGACTTGTTTACGCAGCGTTCCACGGGGGTGGATCCATGGTTAAATCGGGCTGCCGGCAACTGAGTCTGTAGTATTAGCATGCTAGGAATTCACAACTAGGCTGTATGCCTTGTATGAGTGGTGGTTATGTAGAAGCTTGCAGTTGATCTGAAATGTAGCATCAGCTGTGTGCAAGCTCACTCTGCTCAGGTCTGTTTTGTTTTTTGCACAGCCAGTGTCCCTTTGAATTCTGGCCTGTTAAAGGCTGAATTGAGGACATGAGGTATCCTAGATACTAGGGGTGTCAACACTTTTGCAGCCCAGTTCCCTTTTGGAGAAGTTCTCAGAAGCCACACTCCAGTGGTGGATAAAGTTGAAGACAGAAGGGGACAGGGAAAAACGATCAAAATACCAGCATAAAGACTTTCTAGATTAAAAGCTTTAACATAAAGTGTTTAATGCATAAACTATGCCTTAGGAGTGGTCTTTCTGCCTTTTAGAGTGGGCAGAAATCCTGCACAAAAAACAAGAAACTACCAAATGATTGGCAGTTGGGGGAAAGGTGGTGAGGCCACTGAAAGAGGAGTGGCCATCTGAGAAACCCTGGAGGGCCAGATTAGGACCCCTATTTGGACCCTTGAATTGGCCCATTGGCCTACATTCATCACCTCTACTATATATTAATAGCCAATTAATATAGCAAGTTGACTGGGTGTAGATTGTTGTGTAGCCGAATCAAGCACCATCTCCACACACAAGACTTGAGGTATCGGCAGCCACAGGACAAATCCTGGTGTGGAAGTACAATAAATCTTGAGGGGACACCTCCCTTCCCAATGGCCAAGTGAGAACTGGACATGCTGCAAGGAAATGGAAGGGTTGGTTGTTGGGAGGGGAATGAAATGGAGTCCCTTGAAAGTGAATATGGCTGGAGGTCAGAACCAGAATTTTTGTTGCAGGTTCCATGTAATTTTTTGAGTGTTGATCTGCCTCTGCCTCATAAGAAAATATTCAGCCTTGTACTTGAAATATGAATCAATTCCCTAGAGCAGTGATGGCGAGGCTTTTACAGACTGAGTGCCCAAACTGCAACCCAAAACCCACTTACTTATCACAAAGTGAAAATACTGTGATAAAACCTGAAAACTGAGGTTTTACTTTAGAAAAAATAACTCGCACCCAGTCCAAGCAAATACATCTATCTATCTATCTATCTATCTATCTATCTATCTATCTATCTATCTATCTCCTTAGCAGTGCACTGACCGGCCATGCGAAAGCTCAGATGAGTCCCGGCTTGTGATGTTGTGTGCGCATGGCTATGTGCACTGTTGTACGATGCTTGGCTGTTAAGGCGATGCTGGGGCAGCTTGGCTCGCGAGCTGAAAGAGACGGCTCTGTGTGACAGCTGGGGCATACCTTCGGTTTGCCATCACTTCCCTAGCCCTACACTGGTAAACTCCCCTAACCCTAATATAGGGGTAAAGTTCCACTGAAAAGAGGCTGATTTTGAAAAAGCCTCCCTTGTGTAGGGTTTTCTGCACAGCTCGTCATTCCTGCCCGGTGTAAACACATTCCAACCATGAAAACCATTGCAGGAGACCTCGTTTTTCTAACCCTAACCCTAACCTGGTGCACACCCCTAACCCTCATATAGGGGTAAAATATCATTGAAGATACGATGATATTGAAAAGCCTTCCTTGAGTAGCTTTTTCTGCACAGCTTATCATTTCTGCCCTTTCTAAAGCCCTTCCAACCATCAAAATCTTACCAGGACACCCCATTTTTCTGATCCAAACCCTACCCTGGTACACACCCTTAATCCTAATATAGGGGTAAAGTTCCACTGAAAGGAGGGCAAGTTTGAGAAAGCCTTCCTTGAGTAGCTTTTTCTGCACAACTCATCATTTGTGGCTATGAGGTGATGCTGGGGCAAGTGGGTCGCGTGCCGATAGGGCCCTGCGTGCCCGCTGTGGCATGCGTGCCATAGGTTCGCCGCCACTGCCCTAGAGCCAATTTGAAATAATATTGAAGACATCAGGAATCTGATCAAGAATTTCTCAGATCATGGGCTGTTTGACCCTGCGGTGTCTTTGGGAAACTAGTTCTGACATCTGGTTCCTCCTCACCATCACCACATTTTCTTTCTTTCTTAACAGTGATAGGTTAGCGCTGCTTCAGGTCCGCACGATCCTCCAGCAGCTTGGTTTGAACAGCACCTGTGATGACAGTATCATCGTCAAAACTGTGTGTGGAGCTGTGTCGAGAAGGGCGGCTCAGGTGTGCGGCGCTGGGATGGCTGCAGTTGTAGATAAAATAAGGGAGAACCGAGGATTGGATCATCTGGATATCACTGTGGGCGTGGATGGTACCCTGTACAAGCTTCACCCACAGTAAGTATTACCTATGTTGCATGTCCTGGTGGCATTCTGTGAAGTGCTGGACTCCAGGCATCCGAAGCAACAGGGCTCTGCCCCACTGCCTTTCACTAGTTGCTTCTGGGAACTGTGAATGCTGCATGATGAAATAGCCTCATGGGGCCAGCCTTCCCCTCTGTCTTCCCTTGCTGGTGCCAAGACGTGTCTGTAAGAGAGATGAGAACCCAAGCAAACGTGTGCTGCAAGTGAGCAGGGTATCCCCTTCTTCTCCTTTGCTGTGTGGCATGGTCCCAGTTCGGCAGTAGTACTGAGTTCCCAGTCAAAGAACTGTTTTGGTTATATGGAGAAACAAGTGTTGCATCTGTTAGTGCCCATGTAATGCTTGCAGGCATTCTCTGTAAGGACAAGCAACAGGAAACTAATAACTAACGAAGCATCCGCAGGTAGGCCTGGGAAAACGCCCATCAGAAACCCTGGAGGTGTTTCCAGGGAACGTTGGCAGTTGGACCTGATAGGCCTACGGTCCAATTCAGTATAAGGCTGCTTTCCAGGTGTATGAATCCAAAGGAATATAATGGCCTTAGTGGCAGCATGTCACATTCTTCATGCTTGGACTTAACAGGGCTTAGTATCATCCACTGGTTTCTTGTAACTCCTTAAAGCAGAGAGAACAGAAGCAGCTTTCTTAGCTGACGATATGCAGTGCACGGTGCTGGCTTGTTGGGTTGAAGTCACTGTAGCAGGGTTACCCACATTGCACTCCTTTCTGTGTAAGTGATTTATTTATATTTAAATATAAATAACACCACTCTATATACAAAAACCTCTAAGTGGTTATAGTATATCTTATCTAAGTATCAAAAATTGCTATTTAAAATCAGCTAGTAAAGCAATTTCATCTACAATAGCAATACAAAGATCAGTAGATAGGAATAGTGCTTGATTAACTGCTGTAAATGACAAGCCAGGGAAAGTCTGGGTGGACACTGTGTTTTCAGGAGGTATTTTAAACACACCAGTTTCTTCCTCCCAGTTTCTGTGTGTTCACTTCCAGGCATATGCTGACATGTGCCTGTTGTGTGCTTTTCCATCCCTCTTGTGTTTTCCATATAAGTAGACATGTTTAGGATAGGAGACTGATAAAATCTGGGAGCTCATTAGCTCTCTTTTCCATACAGAGTTTCCTCCACATGCTTTATAAGGTGTGTGTGTGAGAGGTGTACTTCTCATTACTACAGCTGCTTCTAGCTTTCTTCCAACAGCCTTTGTCAATCATTTTATGTGTAATAGGAGTAGGGAACATGGTCCTCCACTCAGCCCTCTCCAGTGTAGCAGAGTTGCCACTCAACAACAGCTGGAGGGCTACACAATTATTTATTTAAAATTTTTGTATCCCGCCCTTCACAGTGTCTCAGGGCAGAGATAACATAAATGACACAGCATCACAATAGTATATAAAATCAATGTTAAAAACCAACACTAACATTTAAAATGCTGGGGAAAATCAAAAGGTTTTGGCCTGGCACTGAAATGAAAAAAGCATCAGCGCAAGGCACACCTCTCTGGGGAGCCCATTCCAAAGTCAGGATGCCACTGCAGAGAAGGCCCTTCTCTGGGTAGCCACCCTCCTGATCTCCTTCAAAGAGGGCTCTCAAAGAAGGACTTCCACTTTTCCATTCTTGGTATACAGAGTGCATGCTAAATATCTAGCTTTGTTCATTTGCATGGGCTGCAAGAAAGTTCCCCTCCATCACCACATTATGTGTCTGACGCATAGCAGGACAGACAGAACTCTCTTTACTCATGGTATAGCAATGATGTTCTCTATGGACTGATAGAAGGGTGACTCTTAAGTTTCCTACTTTGTTTTTTATAGCTTTTCAAAGATCATGCACCAGACTGTCAAGGATCTCGCCCCCAAGTGCGACGTGACATTCCTTCTTTCTGAAGATGGCAGCGGCAAAGGGGCTGCCCTCATCACTGCCGTGGGATGCAGACTCCGCGATGCTGAGCACCACTGAACTCTGCAGCACTGGCTTATTCTGCCTTCCAAGCACTTTCATGTAAAGCAACAATTCTGTAGTCTGAACTGGCGGGGGAAGCCCAGAATTCACTGCTTTATGGAAGAGTTGGAGTTTAAATAAAAAAAAATAGGATACTGAATAGAGTGTGCTGTTGCTGATATCATCTCCCACTTCTGAACCCTTGTCTGCATGTGTCTTTTTCTGCCCAATTTGGTACATTCCCTTTGTGTAGGTCATTTAAAAGAGAAAAAAAGATGGATCTATAATTTAACCATGTGAAAAAGTAAGTTTATTGTCTGAGGTCTACAACTACAGCCAAATGATATATTAATGAGAGCAGGAGGTACTTTGTGTCAAGTGTATTCTTTCCAGCTGCTACTAGATCCACATAAAATGAATATGCCACCAAGGATGCTGCATATGACGCAAGTGCTTATGCAAAGGGGACTAAGCAGTAAATCTTCTGACCTCTGAGCAAAATCTCACTTCACTTGCTCTCCACCCTCCTCCGTCTTGGAGTTTTCACGGCTGTGAGGCAGCGCTGTAGCGTGCTCATTGTACTTCTCTGTAACCAGCTTTTCCCTTAACAACCTGGGTCATCCAGTTCAAATTTAGACATGGAGAACATAAAAGACCCTTCCATGTGCCTGATATCACTGGCATTTCCTATTGCTTTGGTGAGTAATGTTGTATTTCCAAGTCAATGTGTACCTGTTTCAAAAAGCGAGTCTTTACAAGTAAAACCAAGCAAATGATTGATCAGGGGTAATCCAAATCTCCAGCCATGAGCAAGGTATGGATTTATGAGCTCCTGTCTTTGCTTCCTATAATTTCCTAGAGCTGAGGAGTTTGTTATTTAATAGAAGGTATTTCTGATATCCTTTGCTGCTTTGGGCCCAGCTGAGAGCCATTTCTGGTGTAACATTCTGAGGTCATGGGTAAAGTTTGTGAATCAATGGCATGAGTGCTTGCACATAGAAATATCATAGGATGGATTGCAGGTGTCCAAAAATGGGATGTTAAATTTTTGTTAAGCCCACTTCAGGGATACTTTTCTTGAAAATTGTGTTGCTGCAGGCCTCTGGCAGCAACTGGGCTTTCTCACTTGCCTAGCTTACTGACTGTGGTCTTAGCACAGCAGTGGCTGGAAAGTTGTGTGCTGTTTAGTTTTTTTCTGCAGTGACCCCAGAACTCCTAACATTACTTTGCTCCAGAGCACTGTGGGAAAATTAAAATGGCGGGCAGCTTCCCAGATGCAGCCACTAGTCTACACTTACATGACTGAGTGGCTGGCCCAGTGAGTAAGTGGGGCCACTGGCATGGATGGGGACCCGTCCTCATCTAATGTTCCCCTGTTGTGGTATACATAGGATTGCACAAACATCTTTACAACATTCAGTGCCTATTGCTAAATAATCATGGTGGGGAAATTACTGATCAACAATTACACAAACACTTACCTTCAAGGGACAGTTCTTTCTTCAGTCCAGATTGTGATGAGGCAGGATGGGGGATACGAAGATCCCTGGAAAATCATTGTGAGGAGGTAGCACCAGACAAACCAGTGCAAAAAACAGCCTTCCCCAACCTACTGCCTTCTGGATGCATTGGCCAGCAACTCCCATAGTTTCCAGCCAGTGTGGTCATTAGGCATGCCAGCTGGAACTTCTAGTAGATGCTGTCTCAGTACATCTGGAGTGCCCCAAGTTGCTGAAGGCTGGCAGAAACAAAGGACATCTTAGTCATATGGCTGCATTTGGCTAGAATTGGAAAGCCCACAAGTGGGGAAACCTAGTCATGGCTAATACTGCCCTCTTTCTGTTTGGAATTGCATAAATAGTGAGAGTATCTTTTGCATTTGGCCAGCAGCCTACAATTAAAACAGCCCCCAAAAATGTAGCAATAGCAACTTGCTGCATTTACAGTTCTTCTGTTCTTCAAAGTATGGCTTAGTGCTGTTCCTAAGCTCTGTCCCATTATTGGCCAAAGAAGCAGGAGGGAGACTTGCAGGCTTATTTTCCTATCTGTTCTGCAAGATTTGGATTGCCCTGGCTTCTAATAATCATTCAAGTCTGCATTTTGGTGCACTGTGATCAAATATTGTGTGGTAACCTATGAGTCACAAGCAGTAATCTCAGCTTTAAGTGTGCGTGCGTCTTCCTGAAGATCTGCATGGTTATCTGGTTTTGCAATGCTAGAAAATCTTTTTACATTGCTCACTAGTAGCAATGATACTAGTGCAAAGTGGATATTTGTGACAACATTAAACTTTTTTTTTGATGTGTGTTTATCAGTGTCTGGTGATTCTTTCTGGCAAAGGGATGAGTAGTGCTTTGAATGGAGGGGGAAGGTGTTATAAAGGCAATATAAACAAGGTAGGCTTTTAAAAATTCCTTGACAGTATCCCAGGTTACTTCCTGAGGCATGGATGGAATGAGCACGATTTAGGTTCCACAAACCACGAGTTATATGTACTTAAACCTTAGTTTCAGATTTTGCCATATGCCAAGCTGACAGGTGATATTTCAGGGCCAAGCTTAGTGAACAAACATCTTTATTATGGGGGAGGGAAGGACAGTTCACTAGTTGTAGCATACTTTATATTGTTTCCCAGCTCTTAGCCCACTAACTAGCATCTTGTGTTTTCAGTAATGAAATGGGAACAGGTTGTAGCTCAGTGGCAGGGCACACACTTTTCATGCCAAAGGCCCGGTATTCATAAGGCTCCTTCTGAAACTTTGGAGAGATACTGGCAGTCAGCATAGATGGTGCTGAGCCAGATGGACCAGTGGTCTCATTTGGCATAAATCAGTTTCCAATTGCGGAAAAGGGAACCCAGGAAGTACTTGATGGCCAACAAGCTGCAAATTGTTTTCAAAATATAAATTACATCTTTTGTTATATGAGTTTTAACCCAGTCAATGCCAGAAATGATCTGGTTTAATGTTTCATTTCCTTGCCAATTCACATGAAAGGTACAACTGACTGTGAAATACAATCCTAAATGTAAATATTAAGATGTGGCTGGACATACTACACAATATATGGAGGGGAGTTTGCACTTGTAATCTTCGTCGTATTAAGTTATTCATCGGTGTACTAAACTATCCCAGGTCACAGATATGCTACTAACTTGCATTACTGGGAATGCTCTGACTTTCTCAAATGTATTAATATCCATGTTTGCTCAGACACAATCAATATGATTGGAAGAATTGTTAACTCAAATTTATTCAATATGGTAAAAGTCGTTTATTTTTTAGCATATGTAAAAATCTGTTCAGGTGTATAGCTTCTAGGGAAAAGAATCATTTATGCTGCCACCTGCTTCTGCTGCTACTGATCAGAATATCCTGATCATTTCCTTTAGCAGGTTACTGCAATGTTTTAATAAGTTAAAGGCTTTTTGAAAACTTACTGGAAGGAGGGCAAATAGTTTTCTAACTCTTGAAACTATTTTGTGCTCTTCCTTTCTTTTACCGTGCTGGAAGAATGGGTTTCTGTGAACATTATTTCCAGAAGATGGAAGATACTTCTTTTGTATTTCTATTTTAAAGCGTATTCATTTTCAGTGCCAGTGATATCAATAACTGGTTATTTATAAACCACTTAATAAGTTTATAAAGTTGAGCATTTTTCTTTATTAAGTGAAATATTCTTGTTACCTCATAAACTACAATAAATACTTAAAACCTGCATTGCAGTATGTTGTCTTATTGCTCTGCCGCCTAAGGTATAATAAATGTTTAGTGCATTTACCTTGCACTCCATTTTTCAAAACAGTTTGGAACAGTGTTCTCCCCACTGCAGTGGTGAGGGCGGCTCCTCACGCAGCTTGGTGCTGTGAGGCTACCAGATTCTTCAGAGGCCTCCTCCCCACCCCTTTCTCGGCTGGCATGAGGAGAACTGCAGCAGCCGTCTGCCACACTGCGCTTGGACCTTGGAGGGGGAAAGGGTATGTCAAGTTCAGGAGGCTGTGGCTGCAGACTTACACCAATTCCAGCTGGTATATCCCAGCCTTGTTCACTGTGGACAGTGAAAAATGGCCATCTAGAAAAAAAGATCTTGGACATAGCGGGGGCAGAGGTCCACATCACGGTGCCTTGCTCTGGGCATCAGAGTGCATGCAAATCTGAATTTGGAAGCTAATGTGCATCTGCAGTGGGGGCAATGAGATTGCACCCTTAAGCTACAATATGCTGCTTTTTGTGCATTTTTGGCACTGGACAGTGCACCCCAGAACTTGGGCTCTGGGATGCAAAAAGATGCATGGACTTAGTCTGTAGCCCGGTCTACAAGTAAATAATACAATTCTGACTTTCATAAATTCCAAAGGAGAATTTAAAATTGATTCTGTGATTGAACACTGACATTTCCTTGGCTCAACCTCTCTTCCCTGCCTCCATCACATAATATAGCTATGATGGAAATTCTATGCTTGTTGCAAGGCAATGAGTAGACTAAGGAGGACAAATGACAGTGAATATGGAATTAATACATGAAAGAAGTGGCAAAGGGAAATGGGATGTTCATACAGGGGACATCTGTGCCTCAGCTGATTAAAGAGCATGAAGAAGTCCATAGAGGAGGGAAGCACTCTGGAATGGCTGCAAACCAGAATGGAGAGACAAGCAGACCGAGTTGCTTCCTCAAGTTTCAGGTTTCATTTCAGACCAAAGGTCAACCCTGTGCTGCTAGATGCAATCTTTCATGTTGACACCTATGACGTGCATCAATAAGCAGTCAAGAAGGGTAAGACATGTCACAAGCTACCCCTTTTCTACAATAAAGATATGTCTGCACAAGCTCACTTACAGACAATAGTGCAAGAAATTTAGAAAGCAAGTGGGGTAAACCAAAGCATTAACTTGAAAGAAATTAACTTTCCTGAAAGAAAATTTGGACAAATATCTCACAGTGTGCCTTTGACTCATTCTTCCTTCCTCATCATGGTTCATTTTCTTCAAGAAAAAAGAACTGAAGGTAATTTTAATATATATCTACCCATGTATGACAAGCAGTTTACTAAATTCTTGGGAAGAGGAGGGTGATGTTTACTGCCTTTGCAAACCCTGGCTGCTTCATAAGTCCTAGGATGTCTCCAAAGTTCCACTGCTGTGTGTAATTGGCTGTAGATGCCAAATTTTAAGAGGGAGCAGTATGTAACATACAGGACCCATACAAAGATCAACAAACTTGAAACAGAAATATAAATAGAACAAGGTATACTTGTGCAAGCACATTCTTGATGAAGAATTGAACAAAAGAAAGGATTTTATTTCTGTAAGGAAATTGTCCTTTATGTTGCAATCCCTATCCACTTATCTAGAAGTATACCTGTTTCTACCTGTGAAGCCTGCAAGACCTGCTCCGTGCTTCTTAGGCTCATTTCTAACTGGCCTGGGAGGGCTGGGTCCTGATTCACTGCAGCTTTGAAGGCTCTGACTGTTATTTTGCTTCTGTTTGGATTCATTTAACTTCTCTTAAAAATTTCAGCCAATAACTGCCAGAGCTCTGATTGATGCTGTCCCTTGATATGGTGATGTCAGCACCAGTTGACTGTGCTGTGGGCAAATATTAGTGTTTTTATTCAAGGGATTCAGTTTTGCAACTCTCTTTTTGGGACTGATTTGGGCAGTGAGTTAGAACCTCAATACTTGTTGGGAGGGAAAACACAGGAACAATTTGATTGTGTGGTGAAATCAAGTCAGTTCGAGTCCTTTCATGTGTGAGGAAGGCTAAAGGCTGTACTTTGAATTCCCTTGTTGCTCTGCTGACACTACAAAGAATTGCCACGAATCTGTCCAAATCGTATGCTATAATTTTAACTGTACTACGGCGAAGTAAGGCAAGAAGCAAGTAATTAAACTATTTGCCTAAAACTCAAATTTCCATATACAAATTAGTAAATGATATCCTCTCACCGTTGTGTTTCCATGCTTGCATGACTGGTACGGTCTGATGCCTGATGCCTCTGGATCTTCGGTAAAGCGGATGGCTGGGTAAGGTTATGTCTATCTCTTTCCATTGCTTCGATACATGGGCACCATTGAAAAGCCACGCTGAAACCAGAGCGGAATCTGTAAATGGGTGCAAACATAAATCACATGTTACATAGTATAGGTCAGGATGATCCACTTTCCATCAAGGAGTTCCTCCTTTTGGTCACGCATCCTTCAGAGGAAACATACTGTCCATGGTGGGAACACACCACATAAAAGATAACACCGCCTACCCCTCTTCTCTCTTTCTGCTGCTCCTCTTTTCTCTCCATCCTTGTGTGTTGCTCTGCATCCTGTATGATGCTGGAAAGAGGAACATTCTTCCTATACATTGTAAGGTAATTCTTGCAAATGGCTGCTGAAATTGGTCTGAGATCTGCCTGTGGTTCTAGGGTCACAGATTGCCTACCTTCAGTGTTTTCAGAGAAGAACATAGTCTTCTGAAGTGCTTAAAGACAGCAATCCTACCCCACTGACTTGGCATTAAGTCCTATCACGCAGAGTGATATTCCTGTTTTGGACTGTGCTTTAAATGTTGTTTCTGCTATGCCTCTTCACTAACCTCTTGGGTGTACTAGCCTTTAGCTTTCCCTTGGTTAAGTTTTGCCACCAATGTCTTGATCCTGTGGTTGCCTTCTGAAATGTAGGGCTTCTCTACATGAGGCATATAACCCAGAGATTTATCAAACCTTCTGTTTTGTGGGGGGATTAGATAATCTTTCCACAAGGTTTGTTTGTCCTGTGGGTTTTCCTCACTGCATTTCTATACATTCTTAATCTGCTCCATTATACAACACAGCATGGTCTTGTGATTTAGAACAGAATTACAAATTAGACCAGAACTCTCTAGTGAATAAATCTAGGAAAATAACAGACTTTCTTCACTCTATGGAAAGCCATGAAAATGGATGGAAAGACTGGGGGAGGCCCCGGAGGTTGATGACAGTGTGAAAAGGCCCCACAAATGTAAATGTGCAGAGAAGCCAGTAAAGTTGCATGTGTGAACATCTACAAATGTTTCAGAACACCATGGAAAGAATCACTTGATGTTAAGCAGGCATGGGCTGCATGTAGTCCCTGTGGCTTTGGAGTGCCCCTGCTGCCCCACCCTCTGCCCCTGAAATTCAGTGGCGTTGAAGTGCTGCAGGGACTCAAAAGTGTCAAATTTAATTCCCTTCCAAGCTGAATACTGCCCTTCTAAATCTCTGTAGCAGCTTGTTACTGGCTTATTGCAGGAGCATTTTGCCCTGCCATGCCACCAAACATTGTCAGCATGACAAAAGAAACATGGATTTAGGGAGATGCAGGGGCTGGAAACTGGCCCTTGGACTGCTCAGAGTACACTCTGCTTGTAAATATTGTAATGCCAAATTAATATTTATTTATACATATTTTAAACTGTTCTTCAATCATATTCTTGTTGTTGTTATTCATGAAGTCATGTCTGACCCATTGCGACCCCATGGACAACATTCCTCCAGGCCTTCCTGTCCTCAGCCATCCCCGAGTCCACTCAAGCTCACGCCAACTGCTTCAGTGACTCCATCTAGCCACCTCATTCTCTGCCATCCCCTTCTTCTTTTGCCATCTATTGTTTCCAGCATTAGGCTCTTCTCCAGGGAGTCCCTCCTTCTCATTAGGTGGCCAAAGTATTTGAGTTTCATCTTCAGGATCTGGCCTTCTAAAGAGCAGTCAGGGCTGATCTCCTCTAAGACTGACTGGTTTGATCACCTTGCTGTCCAAGGGACTCGCAGGAGTCTCCTCCAGCACCACAATTCAAAGGCCTCAATCCTTTGGTGCTCAGCCTTCCTTATGGTCCAGCTTTCACAGCCATACATTGCAACTGGGAAAACCATAGCCTTGACTATATGCACTTATAGTTGGCAGGGTGATGTCTCTGCTTTTTAGTATGCTGTCTAGATTTGCCATAGCTTTCCTCCCAAGGAGCAAGCATTTTTTAATTTCTTGGCTGCAGTCCCTGTCTGCGGTGATCTTGGAGTCCAGGAAAATAAAATCTGTCAATACCTCCATTTCTTCCCCATCTATTTGCCGGGAAGTGAGAGGACCAGATGCCATGATCTTAGTTTTCCTAATGTTGAGTTTCAAGCCAACTTTTGCAGTCTCCTCCTTCACCTGCATCAACAGGCTCTTCAGTTCCTCTTCACTTTCTGCCATGAGAGTGGTATCATCTGCATATCTGAGGTTGTTGATATTTCTCCCAGCAATCTTAATTCCAACTGGTGATTCATCCAGCCCCGCCTTTCTCATGATGTGCTCTGCATATAAGTTAAATAGGCAGGGCGACAGTGAACTCCTTTCTCAGTTTTGAACCTTGCTGAACTCCTTTCTCAATTTTGAACCAAAACAGTGATTCCGTGTCCAGTTCTCACTGTTGCTTCTTCACCCGCATATAGGTTTCTCAAGAGACAAGTAAGATGGTCTGGTACTCCCATCTCTTGAAGAACTTGCCACAATTTGTTGTGATCCACACAATCAATGGCTTTAGCATAGTCAATGAAGCAGAAGTAGATGCTTTTCTGGAACTCCCTAGCTTTCTCCATGATCCAGCGTATGTTTGCAATTTGATCTCTAGTTCCTCTCCCTCTTCGAAATCCTGCCTGTACTTCTGGTAGTTCTCAGTCCACATACTGCTGGAGCCTAGCTTGTAGGATTTTGAGCATCACTTTGCTAGCATGTGAAATGAGTGCAATGGTGCGGTAGTTTGAACATTCTTTGGCATTGCCCTTCTTTGGGATCGGAATGTAAACTGACCTTTTCCAATCCTGTGGCCACTGTTGAGTTTTCCAAATTTTCTGGCATATTGAGTGTAGCACTTTTACTGCATCGTCATTTAAGGTTTTGAACAGCTCAGCTGGAATACTGTCACCTCCACTAGCTTTGTTGTTGCTCAGACTTCCTAAGGCCCATTTGACTTCACATTCCAGGATGTCTGGCTCGAGGTCAGTGACCACCCCATTGTGGTTTATCAGGGACATTAAGCTCTTTCTTGTATAGTTCTTCTGTGTACTCTTGCCATCTCTTCTTAATATCTTCTGCCTCTGTTAGGTCCTTTATCATGCCCATCTTTGCATGAAATGTTCCCGTCATATCTCCAATTTTCTTGAAGAGACCTCTGGTCCTCCCTATTCTGTTGTTTTCTTCTATTTCTTTGCACTACTCATTTAAGAAGGCATTCTTATCTCTTCTAGCTATTCTCTGGAATTCTGCATTCAATTGGGTGTATCTTTCTGTTTCTCTCTTGCCTTTCACTTCCCTTCTTTCCTCAGCTATTTGTAAAGCTTCCTCAGACAGCCATTTTGCTTTCTTGCATTCCTTTTTCTTTGGGATGGTTTTAGTTGCTACCTCTTGCACAATGTTGCGAACCTCCGTCCATAGTTCTTCAAGGCACTCTGTCTATCAGATCTAATTCCTTAAATCTGTTTGTCACCTCTACTGTATATTCATCAGGGATATGATTTAGGTCATACCTGAGTGGCCTAGTGCTTTTCCTGACTTTCTTCAATTTAAGCCTACATTTTGCAATGAGAAGCTCATGATCTGAGCCACAGTCAGCTCCTGGTCTAGTTTATACTGACTGTATAGAGATTCTCCATCTCTGGCTGCAGAGCGCATAGTCAATCTGATTTCTGTGTTGACCGTCTGGTGGTGTCCATGTGTAGAGTCGTCTCTTGGGTTGTTGGAAAAGAGTGTTTGCTATGACCATCGTATTCCCTTAACAAAATTCTACCAGCCTGTGCCCTGCTTCATTTTGTACTCCAAGGCCAAACTTGCCTGTTATTCCAGTTATCTTTTGGCTTCCTACTTTAGCATTCCAATCCCCCATGATTATAAGGACATCATTTTTGGGTGTTAATTCTAGAGGTGTTGTAGGCCTTCATAGAACTGGTCAACTTCAGCCTCTTCAGCACCAGTGGTTGGGGCATAGACTTGGACTACTGTGATGTTGAATGGTTTTCCTTGGGTTCGAACTGAGATCATTCTGTCATTTTGGAGATTGTATCCCAGTACTGCTTTTCCTACTCATTTATTGACTATGAAGGCTATTCCATTTCTTCTGAGGGATTTTTGCCCGGAGTAGTATACCCGATGGTCATTTGAATTAAATTCACCCATTCCTGTCCATTTTAGTTCACTGATTCCTAAGATGTCGATATTCAGTCTTGTCATCTCTTGTTTGACCACATCCAGCTTGTCTTGATTCATGGATCTTACATTCCAGGTTCCTACAGAGCATAGATCTTTACAGCATCGGACTCTCCTTTCACCACCAGATACATCTGCAACTGAATGTCCTTTCGGCTTTGACCCAGTCGCTTCATTCTTTCTGGCACTACTAGTACTAGCCCTCTGCTCTTCCCCAGTAGCGTATTGGACACCTTCCGACCTGAGGGGCTCATCTTCCGGCATCATATCTTTTTGCCTTTTGGTACTGTCCATGGGGTTTTCACGGCAAAGATACTGGAGTGGGTTGCCATTTCCTTCTCCAGTGGATCATGTTTGTCAGAGCTCTCTGCTGTGACCTGTCCGTCTTGGGTGCCCTGCACGGCATAGCTCATAGCTTCATTGAGCTACACAAGCCCCTTCGCCAGGACAAGGCAGTGATCCATGAAGGAGTCCAATCATATATCCAGGGTAATTGTATTCACTGACCTTTGATTAACATAGCAATACATAATTGGGCTGTACACTGCAGAGCTCATGGCAAGCAAAAATACTGTTAGAAGTATATTCAACAAGTGTACCTTTCTGGAGATGTCTTTCCAAATGCTCCCCAAGATGAAGAAGAGATGATAAGGAAACCAAGAGATGGCAAATGCTATCACAATTGCAACCATTGTCCTGACAAACTGGAAAAAGAAAAGGAAAGTTTTTACTGCTCTATCATTCCTCCTCTCCCTAACGAAAACAACTCATGTACCATTTGGTCTCTGGCTAGCTTTTGCTATTGGTCAAGGGCTTTAGTGTGTCTTTTGTTCAATGGAAAGAACTGATGGGAACCCGTGAAGTTAAACACAATGATTGCATTCATTGTGAGTTGCTACTCAAGATGGTTTCTCATGTCATACAAAGCCAGGCTGATTCATTAAGAGTAATTTATTGAGGACAACACAACAGTTCATCATGAGTACAACAACCCCTGGGACAAGCTCTGCATTGTCAAGATGGCTTGTTCAAATATCAGGTGAGCAACCCCATCATAGTTACTGGGAATCAGCTAGTGACTTGCTGGGCAAAAGCAACAAAAATTTCTTGCTGCTCTTGCCAAACTTGTCTGGGCCACTGTGAGTGCCAGCTACTCCACAAGTACCCAAGTGAACTAGTGGGTGACTGGCAATGGCTTGCTGCCTTCGCTGCCACAATTGTGGGTCTGTTTTGGTTGATCTTGACTTTTTTGTCACAAAGTCAAAATCCAGGTTTGCAGGGAGCCACAAACTAGCCACTCAGGAGGAGCAGCAAAATGACTCTTTCCATTCATGGCACTCTTGGTCATGCCACCATCAGTGACAACTACTCCACGGATGCCCAAGTGACACTTTGGAGTGACCATCACTGGCTTTTACCCATTTTGGACGTGTGTCTGTGTGGAAGAAATGTGCATGACTGAGATAATAATTTAAACAAAATTAGTCTTCTGCAGTGCTCAGCTATACCCTTACAGGTGCCTGACATACGGAGTCTTACTTAGCCATTGTCCTGGTATCTGTCTGTTGGCCAAGTCCAGCAGGTAAGATCTACAGATATCGGCCAAGCTAGGGTGCATATAAGCTAATTCATACACACTTGGCAGTTGCTGTTGAGAAGCTAAGTGGCAAAGGGGGCTTTTTGGTCCCAAAAATGGATGGCGAGTGGTTAGTGTGATAGACGTCATCTGGGGTGCCACAGGATTTTCTGCATTCTGCACTCCGCCTGCCTGCCCCCCTGCAGCCGACATGGAAAGAACCAACTAGCTGCCTTTTTCAGGATTGGAACTTGACCCTGGGCAGAAGGTAAAGGGAGGGTTCTGGTGGGCAAGGCAGGAGGGACAGTGCAGAACTCAGGATAGGAGGCTTCCTGCGTCCTTTGCACCACACCTGCTTCCTCCTCTGAAGTGCCCTAGTGAGACAGCAGGAAAGGTCCATCCAGAGAAAAAGCCAGATGGGGGGTTGCATGGGTGGCATAGAAACCTCTGAGTTTGGGGACTTTCAAATAACTACTTCCTAGCCCCGTAGGATTCCACCTTTAGTCATGCTAAACATCCCTATCTTGACTTTTTTTGGAAGGGGAGGGTAGAACAGGGGAGGAACATTTGTTTATAGAAATATTGAATGGAAATCTAAGAAGCTGATAAAGCAAGTTGGTGATTAAAGGCTATTTATTATGTGGGATGAATGTCTGGAGTGCTTAGCTGCAGTTCAGAAGTCTTGGAGCTGTTAAGTGGCATGGCACCTCAAGTGTGAATGCTTTGCCATCCTCTGTGGCAATGAAAATGCAACGATGCAGTGATACAAGTCTTGGCAGGAGTTCATGTTTTCCTTTCACAAAAGATGACAAGGACTCACCCTTTAGCTGTAATCTGATGCCAGTGGTAGACCTTGTTAGTGTCATCTCCAGGAACAACGTGATTCCATAAGGTTATTCCGATTATACTGTACAGGACAAACATCACTGTGAGTGGCAGTAGGTAAACCAGAACAATGAGTGCAATGTGATACCTAGGAGGGGAAAAAAGGCTAGGTGTGAATCATCACTGTAATCATTTCCCAGGTGACACTTCCCTTACTTTTCTGAGAAGTGGCTACTTATAAAGCACATGACTGAAAAAGACGATACTTATTTGCATACTATTTGCTAATACTAATTTATGCTAAGAGATATAGAATAAAGAATTGTTGAATAATTCCAGTTTAAGCAGGAATACAGTGTATCTCATCATATGGAGGAAGGGTGTTCAGGTGGACTTCAGGTTTGCACTTTCCACTAGCAATCGCAGTACTAAATGTTCAAGGCTCCTGTAGATTTCCCTCTCTAGGATTCTTTGACTTTACAACAGACTTAGACTGGACAGCCCAGCGAACAGAGGATTGCTTCAAACAGAGGACTGTCCTTTGACCATTCTGGCCACCCAATATTATATCTATCCTATATGTCTAAAATGGTTTCCTTTTTCTAGGGAAGCCTGGAAACTCTCCCTGTGTCTCTTGGTAAACAAACTCCTGCTGTTACCTAGATCTATCTCCAAATTAAGGTGAACCACACAGGTTCTTTTAAAAGTAATCAAAAGTAATCAAAATGGAAATCAAAAGTAAAGAGAAACAAGAAGTTTCTCTTATTAACAAGCTGGATGGACAGGAATGCCCCTTTAGTGCAAAATGCAGGGCGGGAGGGAAGGACAAAGGCTGCCTCCTGCACTCCTCCTTGCACTTCACTGGATGACCACAAGCCTCTCAGCTTAAGCTACTTCACAGGGTTGTTACAGCCATCATGAAAAGATGCACACTTAATCTATTATCATCATACTTTTACTGCTAGCGATGGTGGAGTGTTGGTTGGATTTATTTGCAACTTGACTTGGCTGCCTTTGGGTACTATGCACCTTGCCTTGGCGTGTGTGTGGGAGCACAACCGCTACTCCGGCTTAGGCAGAAAAATGATTTGAGTTAGCCAGATAAACTGGGGAAGTTTAAAGTGAGGGATATTTAAGTTGCAATCCTACGCCCATTCTTCTGGAAGTAAGCTGCATCAAACTCAGTGGGATGTAGGTAATTCTAGATAGTTTTAAGACAACTCTGTTAATTGTTTTATGGAGGACTGCTAGGACAACATTTGAAGACATTGATTTAGAATTTCTAGATTCAAAGTACATTCCCGTATCCCACAATTAGAAATCTGCAGAGACTGCTTAAAATTATCTTCAGCTTGATTCAGAGGTTTCAAAGGAGACACCAACGCTGCCGTCTGGTCCAGATTTATTGGATGAATTTCAGTTATTGCGGCCCGATGATGTGGACAAGGTGCTTGGGCGAGTACGTCCAACCACTTGCCTTTTGGACCCTTGCCCGTCTTGGTTAATAAATGATTCCAAGCACGGGATTGGAACCTGGATCTTGGAAGTGGTTAACGCTTCTCTGAGGGAGGGTCGGGTGCCGGCCCCTTTGAAGGAGGTGGTAGTCCGACCGGTCCTGAAGAAGGCGTCACTGGATCCAGAGATGGCCACTAATTATAGACCAGTGGCCAACATCCCGTTTCTGGGCAAGGTGTTAGAACGAGTGGTGGCGGGACAACTCCAAGCACTCTTGGATGAAACTGATTATCTGGACCCATTGCAGTCTGGCTTCAGACCCGGGTACGGTACTGAATCTGCCTTGGTCGCCCTGTATGATGACCTGTGCAGGGAGAAGGACAGGGGGAGTGCGTCCCTGTTGGTTCTGCTGGACCTCTCAGCGGCTTTCGATACCATCGACCATGGTATCCTTCTGGATAGGCTTGCGGGATTGGGGGTTGGAGGCACTGCTTTGCAGTGGTTCCGCTCCTATCTCAATGGCCGGTTCCAGAAGGTGGTGCTGGGGGACTATGGCTCTGCGCCATGGCAGCTATGCCATGGAGGACCGCAGGGGTCCATTTTGTCCCCTTTGCTGTTCAACATATACATGAAACCGCTGGGAGAGGTCATCAGGAGGTGTGGGCTGCGGAACCATCAGTACGCTGATGATACCCAGCTCTACCTCTCGTTTTCCACCAATCCAGGTGAGGCAGTGGCTGTGCTGAACCGGTGCCTGGCCGAGGTAATGGGCTGGATGAAGGCCAATAAACTGAAGCTCAATCCAGACAAGACGGAGGTCCTGTTGGTTGGTGGATCGGGCTTCGGAGAGGGTGAATTGAACCTTGTCCTGAATGGGGTTGCACTCCCTCTTAGGGACAAGGTCCGCAGCTTGGGAGTGCTCCTCAACCCAGAGCTTTCACTGGAAGCTCAGGTAACAGCAGTGGCGAGGAGCGCTTTCCTCCAGCTTCGGCTAATTCATCAGCTGCGCCCCTATCTGGAGAATGACTGCCTTGCGACAGTGACACATGCGTTGGTGACTTCCCGTTTGGACTTCTGCAACGCGCTCTACGTGGGGCTACCCTTGAAGACGGTCCGGATACTTCAATTGGTCCAAAATAGAGCTGCCAGGCTGCTGACGGGGACTGGACGTTATGTTCACATGACTCCAGTTCTCCGTCAGCTTCACTGGCTTCCTATTGAAGTCCGGGCCCAATTCAAGGTGTTGGTTATGACCTATAAAGCCCTAAACGGCTTGGGTCCTGGTTACCTGAAGGAGCGCTTACATCCTTATATGCCCAGCCGCCCCCTGAGATCGGCGGGAGAGGCCCTTCTCCGGGAGCCCTCCATGGAAGAAGTTAGGAGGGTGGTTACTCGGAGGAGGGCTTTCTCAGCGGTGGCGCCTAAGTTATGGAATGCGCTCCCCAGAGAGGTCCGCCTGGCGCCGTCGTTATTTGTTTTTCGGCGCCAGGCGAAGACCTTTTTATTTAAGCAGTATTTTAAATGTTAATATTATTGAATTTTATTTGGCCAGGGCGGCTTGTATTATAGTGTATATTTGTATTTTATTGTATATATTTTAAAATGTTATTTTAATTTTTTGTTGTAAGCCGCCCCGAGGCTTCGGCGAATGGGGCGGCATAAAAATGTTTTAATAAATAAATAAAATAAATAAAATACAGGATCTACTAACACAGGGCTCTCTCTTCCTACATTCCTTCCTAAGTCTGTCTAAATCAGACTCTATGGCTTCATCACCAGCAAGCATTTTTCCTTCCCTCTCCCTCTTTGCTTTTTTGCCATTTATCCTAATGAAGAATCCTGAAGTACTTGAAAGCTTGTACCCTAATTTTGTGACCTTTTAGTTGGTCTGATACAGGCATTGCCATAATATAGATTTTGGCATAAATCTGCATGCATTTATTCTTCATTCTGCTCCAGCAAGTGCAAAGAACGTATTCTAGCAAAGCAGTTTCTGGATCTTTTCACAAATAATTCTGATTGAAGGGAAAAGTGCTAATGATACAGCATTCCAGTGCCCACCCTTTTCCTTAAACCGTGTTGCCAAAATATACTTCTGGCTTAAACAGTTGAGAAGTTCTTACGTGAGCTTATGACTGTTGTCTGGGTCTCCTGGCCAGATAATGATACATTTGGTTATCCCATTATCAATCCTTATTTCTGAATAAAGGAACTGTGGAAAGGCAAGTCCAATAGCTGCCAGCCAGATGTTTCCTGTGATCACTTTGCTGTTCCCGGAGGCAAGTTTTTTCTTGAAAGGGTAAACTATAGCCACATATCTGGAAAAGAAAGGGACAGAATGGAATTATTCTCTGACAAACAATTGTTTTAATGAGCAAAAACTAGATGCTGTGCATATCGGGATGGATCTAGGATTTGCCTTCCATGAATGGAAACGACCTTTTGTGAGAGGAAGGCAGTTCTGGGCACCATCCTACATCACAGGTCACCTCATTCAGCAGGGTACTCTGGTCTCAGTTTGCAAATCATCATAGTCCACTGTGGTTTATGTAAGCCATGGCATGTTGCAGCAAGTGCCAGCAGCCATTTTGAATATTTAACCCTCTGCAGGGTGCTCTCATGACTGGCCATGTCATTTGAACTTGGGCAGCAGGGTTTATTGAAAGAGGAAACTACCTCTAATAACCCTACAACAGACCACCAGCTGCCATGATCACATGAACCTGCTCTCTCTGTGGTATTTTTCAAAGGGTTTGGCTTGTTTTCTGCTGGATGCTACTTTGCAAGAGTATTTGCATGACTCAGTCCATATCTAGTCTCTGCTCCATCCCTTCTCCCATATGAACACATACAAAGGGGTTTCCCCCTTTTTGAAGCTTGTTGTTGCTATTTGTCTTAGCCTGACAGTTCAATTCAATGCAAAGTAAACCTGGAACAACACGGTATGCAATGGAGAAATACAGTGTTTAAGATTTGTAACATTTGGGAAACTATTAAAATAAAATTAACTCAAATGAAATATCTATGGAGTTTGAGCATCATTTTGTGTAATTCTGTATTGTTATAAAATCAATTATTGATAACTAGCATGGTAACATGTCAAATATTTTCCAGAATGAATTTTGTTCTATGTATCTAGGCAAGGATTGTTTCTGAAGAAACTAGCTAGAACTGCCCTTCTGTTATATGAGGAAAGGGGAGTTCATTTGTATTGTCTTCCCTTTAAAAATAGGTAAGCATTTGAAATATTCCTTGCTTTGTCGTTTATGAATTTCTTTCATCAATCTCAACATGATCAAAGACTCAGTGCAAACTGAAAACAAACATGAAAAGGCTTAAAAATAGATTTAGAATATCAGTAAAATTTCCAGGAAAATAAAGGAGTCTAAGGAAAAAAATATTGTTGTTTGTCGCGAAGTTGTGTCCAACCCATTGCAACCCCATGGACAACATTCCTCCAGGCCTCCCTGTCCTCCACCATCCCCCAGAGTCCACTTAAGCTAACACCAACTGCTTCAGTGACTCCATCCAGCCACCTCATCCTCTGCCGTCCCCTCCTTCTTTTGCCATCTATTGTTCCCAGCATTAGGCTCTTCTCCAGGGAGTCCTTCCTTCTCATTAGGTGGCCAAAGTATTTGAGTTTTATCTTCACTATCTGGCCTTCTAAAGAGCAGTCAGGGTTGATCTCCTCTAGGACTGACCGGTTTGATCGCCTTGCGGTCCAAGGGACTCGCAGGAGTCTCCTCCAGCACCACAGTTCAAAGGCCTCAATACTTCAGCACTCAGCCTTCCTTATGGTCCAGCTTTCACAGCCATACATTACAAAGGAAAAAAATAGAACTTTCTAAAAGTGATCAAGAGAGTAAGAGAAAGATGAAAGTTTGTAGTGCCACTTTTTTACTACTGATTTGGTATGAAAATGTTTTTATAAAGATGTATTTTAGATTATTAGTGAATTCCATAGTTTAATGATGCACTGTATGAAGAACACGGTGCAATTCCCTGTGAAATTCTCATCATATACTGTAGCTTCATTGCTGCCTGGGTCTACATTAGAGGTGGGGAACCTTTTTTTTGGCTGTCCAGAAGGGGAGGTCCCCCATCCCTAGCCTAGCAGGTGGCTGCAACCTTACACTGTTCAGCTAGGGAATGGATGTATCCTACTAAAGTGTCCTGGATGCCCAATTAACCCTTTAATATAAAATAATTCAGGAGCATTTCTTTGCTTTTCCTTCCCAGTTACAAATATCTGAGCAACTTGTATAATTTTCTGCCTAGTACAGTATGAAACAGTATCGTAGTGGTGTCAATTTGCTGTAGGATATCTGCAATTCTTCACAGTAATGCAGAATTTAGTTTTCCTTTTCCGTACCTGGTATGTGACTTGTCAGCTGTGCTGTACTGAACCAGAACTAAAGCTATATTGCTATTACTATGTCAGTAGACTTCTATTTGTACAACAAAACCTTCTTTTCCCTGTCTCTCTCCTTTTCTTTTCAGCTCTGCGGGTCCTCTAGAGCATGGGTCCTCAAACTACAGCCCGCGGGCCAGATCTGGCCTGCCATGCCCATTTATCCGGCCCGCCTCAGAGGTTTTGGAGTGAGCAAGCTGCTGCCGCACGGGCACCTGCCCTCGCCTGCCCGCCACCAGCACCTTTCCATTGCCCCCCGTTGAAAAAGTTTCAGGATCCTGCTCTAGAGCAATTTTTGTTTTTTTGGAGGTGGAAGGCTGCAGAGGAAATAGGGAACCTGTTCCACTAAAAGATGCCATTCCTCTGGTAGAGGGACACTATTGTAGATGCAATCCATACAAACACACACCACTAAACCTAAATGTGGAAGCAGTTCACAGTATATTGGCCTGAACTAGAAACAAAGGGATTCTATCACAATTGAACCTGTACCAAAAAGCTTTTATTTAATAGAGAGGTTTGACTCCCGATCTAAGCAACAAGGGTGATAATGCAATTTCTTGGAATTTTAGCAGCTCCTTTAAAAAAACACTGGCTTCTTAAGGCAGACTTTAGAAAATCTACTGGAAGAAACAACAAGCACTGTGTGGCTGGAAATCTGTTTCTGATTTTACAGTGCATAGTGCTGCCTACTATACCAGGTGAAATCCACGCAAGGCATTTTTGCTGGCATTGTAATGCCTGACTTACTGGACTTGCTTCAACCACTTTTCCTTGTGCTATTTCTCCCACTTTATCCTGGATTTCTTCACAGCAGTCATATAATGACCTTTTTACATGTCATAGTTTTCCCTCAGTACTAAACATGCAATACTAGCTTGGGGCCAGGAGTGGTTTCAGCAGGCTGGTGTGGAAGAGGAAACGACCTATCACTTTTCTACCCCTCTCTCCAACTGCTCAGTTGTTTGTCTCCCTTTGTGCCATGCCCAGTGAACTGGGGAGTAAGTGCATTGCTTACCCCTCTCCTCCCTTCCTTGGAAAAAAGTTTGCTATTTTTTTCAACCCTGAAAACGTATGTATACTCAGAAATAAATCACATTAACCTCAATAGCTTTGTCAGAAATAAATCACACTTTCCCATTAATTAGTTTCATTGGGTAAGTCAGCATGGAACGGACTGTACTTGCTTTCTAGGAATTGTTTTAGTTGGAGGAGAATGGGGGTGCTGATCCTACTGGCCACCCCATGGGAGGTGGGAAAAACACAGCAAGAAGGATCATAGCAGACCCCTCCCTCTTGTCACCAATTCTCCTTCTCCATGATTATTTGAGGGGAAACAGGATTTTACTTATTAAAACAAAAACAAAAAACTTCACTCCTTCCCTCTAGGGAAGCTATGTATACCTGAGCTGCTAAAAATAAAAAAAGCATAGAAAAAATGAATCTTAAAGAACCATCTCCCTGCACACATTCCCTTTCCAACACCTCCTCGTCCTCCTACAAATGTACTTGGGACACAAGAGCATGTTCTCAACAGAATGGAAGCTGCACTGTATTGATCTGGATACATCTCAACCAGCACAAATGCTTTTTGCAGAAACACCATGGCATAAATAAAAAGGGGTTCTATTCCGGATTTCCCACAGGAGTTAAGAAAGTTGCTACTGAACTTTGCTAGATGATGTTGAAATGTTTGAAGTAGGGCCATGGCAAATTACCTACACTAAAAGATCTGTCCCAGGCCACCATTCACTTCCTTGTTGGTGTTCGCAATCTGGGGACAGAGCAGACAGGAACTGTCTTAGAAGCCCAAACTGACTCTTCCATGGCTGATTTACAGGGCCTATTTACAAATGACACTAAATCTCCATGGGTTAATTTTCCCCAAGGCTTAGTGGAGTGTACCAGATGACATTTTGAATACACAAACAGAGGTTCTGTATTCTGTCATGTAAGCCTGGTGCTGTGGGTTGTTTGAGGGGGTATAATGTCTATGGGTCCCTATCCTAACTGCTAGCTGTTTTTTAAAGTTATTTGAAAGCTGTCTACCCTCTCAAACAACCCACAATGCTGTATTTGCACAATATCAGGCTCCATGCTAAAAGGACATCTGGTATGACATCCTGTTCCCCATGGCTAAATTAAGCCACTGTGGGCTGCCATGTCATGTGAACAAGACTATTATTGAGCAGACCTGGGAATATCAGTGTGTATTCTCTCCTTTTTAATCACGGGGTTCTAGCCAGTGTGGCTAAATATAGGCTTCAAAAAAGGACAGACTTTGGTAATGTCTCATGAAATAAGGAGAGGGTGAAGTAATACTTCCAAGCAGAGGGTAAAGTAATACTTCTAGCAGTTCCTGCTGTTCAGTGCCCAGGAAAGCTCCTTACTTTTCCTCTTAACAAGCAGAAACCAAATGAACTATTCAAAACAAAAATTCAGTGACCCCAGAATCTGGGTAAAACTGGCATGCATTTTTTATAAGTAACTAGTACAAAATGTATACTACTGTGGGCATGGAATGCCCCCAAATACTCAAATGTTTAGATAGGGTCAAGTAATTCACAGTATAATTCTATTTTTATTAAGTAAGATTGTAGCCTGTAATCCTAACACATTTACTAGTGAGCAGGTCTCATTGAACGCAGTCAGACCTGAGTAGATGTAACTAAAACTATTTACATGAGTAAAGGAGGACACTGTCCAATATACCTTCCATTAACCCTGTACACCAGGAGGAGGATGGGCATGTAATCAAGAGCAGGAAAGCAAGGATTCCCTCTGCTCTTTTCCTGACCTGCAAAAGGCAAAGATGGCTGATTTCAGTCATCTATCCATTTTGCCTGAGACATTGTCAGAATTTCTTGTATGCTGCTCCAGCCTCACTCCCTGCTCCCTGGGATGTCCCCATGCGCTGGCTGTGAGGGGAAAGGAAGAGCAGAATGCATTTCTGAGATTAGAGCTGGGACTCCAACATTTCCTAAGACCATTTAGGCAGTGGCTAGTGGCCAAAGTATTGTGTCCTTACTTACCTTTGCTAAAAATAGAGAACTCAACTATTTTAAAGGTTTGTCTATATTATCCAGTTATTTAAGCCCTGCCACAAAGTAATGCTTAATAAACAGTTATAGAATTATCAGAATTTGACTCAAATATAAAAGACTTCATCACTGACATCTCTTTACCTTTCAGCAGCAATAGCAGTCATAGAATAAACGCTCACAAACACTGCTGTAATAGGAATGAAGTTAAGAAACTGACAGAATCCTTCACCAAAATACCAGACATTGTGGCTGGCATAAATAAAATTGAAAACTCTGTTCAAAGCAGTCATCAGAAAGTTAGAAAGTGCCAAATTAACAATAAAATAGTTGGGAACAATCCTCATCTGTTTATGAGTTAGGATAATCCAAATGACAGTGCTGTTGCCTACAGCTGACACAATGATTATGGATAAATAGGCAATAGCCCAGGCTGCTATTTGCCAGCCAGGCAGAGAAAATACAGTTGATGGTGTCTTGTGGGAATAATCTATAAAAAAGCTATCCACTGAAATATTGTTTTGCGAGGAATGTCTCTTCATATTTCTCTTCTGTGAAATATTGAAAAACTGCTGCAAACTGGATGCTTTTCTTACCATACTCTATTATTAGAGTGATGAACTCGTGGTTTGGTGTATCATATCTAGAGATATCCCTTCAACAGATCCCAGGTTGATTTTCTGACATGCACTGTAACTCCAGAAAGAAGTGATTACTGTTCTTCTAAGCCCCTATCCATAAAAAAATAAAAATCAATTTGAATAATCACAGCATTAAAAATGCATGCTGGTGTTAGCAATAAATAGAAATACTAAATCCGTAATGAGAAGAATCTTCTTAAAAATCAATGTGTTCTAATTATTGTATCTCTATTTCTTTTAAAAAGAAAAAAGAGGTTGATAAACATTCTGCTGGACAATGAAAACAGTTTTACACAATTTCTTATTACAGAGATGATACTCTCCTACATAGATGCAAAATGCACCAACCCATTGTTAACACAAACAAACCTGAACTAACACACATTTCATCTAACAATCAGTGCTTGCACATTTAGATGAACATATGAGTGCTTATGTTCATGGAAAGAAGTTTTGAGAACTTGCCATTTTAGCTGCCCACATCCTTGGGCTGGCAAATGGGCTCAGTCCCCAACAAACATTAGGCTACTGTAAGGGAAAAAAAAATTTTTTAGCACCATCAATACCAATAACAACAGTAACAGCAATATCACTATCATTAATATTTGGCAACATTGCAAAAGGAAAAAGGAAACAAAACTTTCTGTTGAACACCAAAGGGAAAAGTAGCCTCATAGATTTGAAAAGAAACTCTTCCCACTGCATGTGCGTGCACGCACACACATACACAGCCCCAGAGTTTCATCCATTCCCTCCCAAGCCTTCAGTTGTAACATAGCAAATAACAAAATGGTATACTCAGAATTCAGAACTTATACCCACACACATATAAGACTCAGATCCATGTTGCATAGAAAAATAGAAGTTATTGGAAAGGGAAAACTCTTGATGGCTGACACAAGTCACATGCTCACAACATTGCTTTTTTTTTTTTTTTTTGAAGGATTCCCTTCCTTAAAAAAAATCCCCTAGTGACGCATTGAGAGTGCTTAAGGGTCTTTGTTTTAACCCAAACCTTCCCAGGCAGAATTTTTCCTGAGGCAATACAAGCTTTGAACACTCAAAGGACCTCAAATGCCTTGCCTCAGTTACACAACTTTTATTTATTTTTAAGACACCAAGATTTCTTTTGAGAGTTTTCTAGAGACTCAAAGACTTTCTTTTGAGAACTAGTGCAAGCCCGCCTCCAATCTGTGGCTGGAAGCAGAGCTGCTCAAACTTCCCAAAGTACTTTGAACTCTGCACATGCTCAGAGGCTTTGTGTGTGCTGCTTCTGCAGTACTCACAAAGTGGTGGTATCTTCCTGCCAGAGCATCCCCCCTTTTCTTGGCTCTGTGGAACAGCCAAGCCCACAGAGTCAAGAAATCCAAATTTTCCAGCACAAATCCCCCCTGAATTCAGTTGGCCAGACCAAATCTAGAGAAGAGGCTGCAGTTACTGTCTCTTTAAATAATGGGAGTGCTCTTAGCAAGGTAGACTATTCCTCTTTTTTTCATTTGTTTTTCTTGTCTTTACTCCAAAAGTTACACATTTCTTCCCATATTTTTTTCCAGTAGAAAAAGCACCAAATCACCATTTACCAAAACTCTTAAAATTCTCTCACATACCAAGCACCATGCACCCCTTGAATCAAGGAATTCCTATCACTCTCATTCTCACATGGCATACACAACATCCAGAATAAAAATCTTTTTGCCTTTCACTCAAACCTCACATTCCAAACAGCTGCAAGTTCAACGGGGAGAAAAAAACCCAACCAATTTCCACTATTTTTCCAAAAACCTCCTCAACACATAAAAGAAAACCCTTCCTTTCTGCATCTTTGCTTTACGTTTCCTTCCTTTTCTTTCATTTCCACACTCCATCTGTTCACTTGCCTTTACTTTCTACTTACAAGATCTACAAAATTCCAATCCAAACCCCATGAAATTACAACCACACCACAGTGCTTTCCTTTTGCACGTGTTTCCTCCTGAACAAATCCTCTTCCTTTCTTTCCATGCCTTCCTTCACAAACATACTCCAGCAATATCTGATGGGAAATAGATTCCCTGAATCCATTTAGCCTCTGCAGCCCCTTAGATGCAGTTTCACCTCTCTTGGTCCAAAGTACAACCCAAAAGCGATCCCAGAACCGTAAAATCCTCCCCAGGAACTTGCAAAGAAAGCATTTTTTCATCTTTCATCTGCCCATCAGCATCCCCTCCTGGAATTTCAATCTTGTTAGTTTAAATAATGGTATTTGAAATTCCAGGAGGGGATGCTGATGGGCAGATGAAAGAGGCAGAAAAACTTGCATTAAAGACATTAAAACAGTGTTCCTGGTTTCTGACAAGGAAAGGACCTGCATAAAAATGTTTGTATATAACCCCCCTTTCATACAGGGCTTTCACACAGGATAAGCTTATTAAGGATGTCCAGAAAACTGGGTAGGACCTGTGTTTGCAAGCCCAATTCAAGGGCCACACATTTCCTTACTTCCCAGTTCTGGCTCATATACAAGGAATGGGGGAAGGAAAAAATCCCACACACACATGCCCTGATCATCACCTTTTCCCTAGCCAGACTCAGCCATGCTTGGGCTCAGGTAAATGACCTCATGAATCTTTCTCAGTCAAAGACAGGTTCACACATTCTCATTTCAGGGGCAAGAACACCCATCCACACCCTTGCTTTCAACCATGCCCTGAAGAGGACAGATTGGTGCGGCTGAGTGGGGAGCTTCTATTTCCTGAGCAACCCCCAAAACCCACTCTGGCCTATGCTTACCTCCCAGAAAGGGGAACACTTTAAAATACAAACAGACAAGACAGAAAACACAGACAGCAACAATGAACACAAGACTTTCACAAACAGTCAACATAAAACTTTACACAAAACCCCAGTGCAAACATATATTCACACGTGTAGATCTTTCCTGGTGCACCAATACCATATTAGCTAGCTTTTTTCCTCTACCAGCTTGGACCAAAGCAAAACTTATTCCATCTCCTTAGAATGTATTTCCACCAACTGCTTTTGCAACAGGTGTAGCCAATTTCAATCAAATGAGCCCTCTAGGGCCAAATTAGTTAGGTTTGACCATGCTGTTTCAAAATACCAAGCGCTTGCTTCCGTGACAACCCCACAGGTGCCGCTCATGGCCATTCACAACACCCTGCAATTTGATGCAGAGGTGTCCATGGGGTAGTAAGCCTAGATTCTGAAACCCCCATGCTTCCTGGGTGTCCACAATCAAAGCCAATGTGCAATGAGGTTCAAAACCAGATCTAATTACATTGACCTGCCTGAGAAACAGAAGAGATAGCCAGTATCTGTGCTCCCCCATTGGAGAGAATTTCGGCCGAACTTACCATCTCTCCTGCCCAGGATAAAGGGCTAAAAACCCACGATCCCATCCTTGTTGCCAAATTGTCAGAATCCTGGAATCTCAATTTGAGAACATACAATCAACATACAACATTTTCATACAATCAGTCAATCAATGTTTAATATTTATATCTTGCTGTTTCTTCCAAGGAGCTCCTCCTTCTGTTTTAGCCTCATGGTAATTCTGGTTAAATGAAAACTTCAAGCCACATTTCCTCAGACCTTGACTAAAGTCAACTCCATATTGGCTCTCTAAAAATCATTCCACGTTCAGTACAGCCATCTGCACTCCCTGAGAAGCTCACCCAAATTTGGGGGCCTCTAGAATGGCCCTCTGTGAAATACAAGGATACTCCACTGGAAGGAAGTATCCTTCCAAGTATTGCCTCTGTCAGAATCCCGGAATCTCAATTTGAGAAGAGGGAATAAAACTCAGGTTCGTGGGAAAGACCAAGTGTCCAGACCATCTGAGGCTTTACTGTTTAACCCCCAAGGTTCCCACGGTACACTCACAATAATGCGTGCTGCATTACCAGGCAGGCAGAGATGAACTCTACTGCAAAGCTTCAATACCATTACAGGGCATTTATAGGTACACAGGTGCAGGGCAATTCATGACAGAATGCAGAGATTACAATAAGATTCTGAGGTCATCACATACAGAACAGATAAAGGAATGGCAGTCAATCACAATGAGATTAGTATTGACACTTTAGTTGAGTATCTTGAACCCATCTCCAGGTCTGCTCAGACATGCAAATTCAAGCCACTAGAAACTATTCATGATAAGCTCAGACCCCTATGACTCCAAACATTCTGCATGATCAGGGCACATGAAGCCCTCTGGGCTATCAAAAGATTACTGTAAACTGAATTCCAACAATGACTATTTACAATGAATATTTGGGCTAAAATGGCCTGTTCTACTGTAGCCTACAGCTAAAGGTGAGAGAAAGGAGCGGGGGAATGCCATTTTAAACAGTGACAGCTTGGTTTTGAGGAGGAAGACAGGATTTGATCCCACAACTCAGACTCTTATAACCTCAGGACAGCCTCTGTAAGAAAAGCTTGATTAGGATCAGGAGTGAAAATTAGTGGAAGACATATCAATAATTTAAGATATGTACAGTAGATATTACTGCCAGAAAGCAGCAATGGATTGAAAGGACTTTAGATGAAAGTGAATGAATAAAGGGCGAAAGCCGGACTGCAGCTAAAAAACGACTAAAGAAAAATAACAGAACATTAATGCTAACAATGAAAAAATCAAATGGTTAAAGATTTTGCATACCTTAGTTCAGTCATCAATGCAAAGGGGGACTGCAGCCAAGAAATCTGAAGAAGACTGAGACTTGGAAGGGCAGCAATGAAGGAACTAGGAAAGATCATCAAATGTTAGCACATTTCACTGGAGACCGAAGCTACTGTATTCTCCATCACAATGTATGGGTGTGAATGCTGGAGAATGAAGAAAGCTGACAGGGAGAGAATGTATGTGTTTGAAACATGGTGCTGGACAGGATAGGCACAATTAATGTTAGAATGAACGATTAGCTTAGAAATACTCTGACATGTGCAGTTACTAATCT